CAAAACTAGTTTTCCACAAATTCATAATATCTAGGCGGATCAATTTTAAAACAATTTAGGAAATTAGATTTTTTATGATTTAAAAATTTTCACCACAAGATGCAACGTTTTGGGATTCAATAGTTAAATGCTTATTAATTAAATTTTGAAAAAATGTAATACAGGAAATATAGTAGAATAAAGAAAATATGATTGGTTCAAAATATATAGATTCATTAATTTGCAATAATATTTAACTTTGGTCCGACATACAAAATTAGAAATTTAGTTTTTTTTTAAATATACAAATACATCGATTAGTTAGAAAATGTTATCACCATTTTCTTTAATTATCACTTTATATTTATTTGCTTATCTTAATACACATCTATGATCTATTGTATAATTTTTTCCTTAATAGTGTAAAAACAAATTAGTCAATATAAATCCTTGTGGCATGCTATGTATTAAAAGCAATTTTCGATTATAAAGATGATAATTAAACAAATAGAGATTGATATAAATTTTTCAATATTTAAAATCACAAATAAAGTTAATTTTAAAAAGTAACAATTAAAGGAATATCTTTAAATTTAGGTAGTAGAACACAATGAAATGTGAAAAAACAATTCAAATGTAGGAAAAGAGTTGATTGTGTAGTGTTTAGTAATATCTAAAATAGGTTGATTATTAATATAGATCCGAGTAAACTCATCTTTAAAAATATTATTAATAATTGAAATTAACTAATTGGAGATTATAATGAAGGAGTTGTTAGAATTTGGCACACAATTAATTGCTCTAAATTTACTAGGCAAAAATGAAATTATAATATGTGGAATATATGGAAACCATTCATCAGTAATTATTTTTAATCACCTAATGTTATAAATTTTTCCATAATAATGCATTCTATTATTTAAATTGCATACTTTGAAACTTTTACTACTCTGAATTTTAGAAGTTCAATATAGAATTCTTTTAATAAGAATAGAACAAAATATAGGTGCTTAATATTAAGTTCTGTTTTAGTATCATATCTTATTTCTTGCAATTTTGTTAACTAGCTGCTTAGACAACAAATTCTCTAAGTTTTCTTATATTTTGCTTTGTTTTGATCAACTTCTGATCTTTTTTATTTATGCATTCTGTTTAAATTAAGCTAAAATTACGAAAAATTAAGATATAGTTTTCATTTTTGCAACGTTCGGCGTATAATTACTCTTGATATCGAAATTTCTCTCTCTCTCTCTCTCTGCATATATATATATATATATATATATNATATATCAGCACAATAGTATGAGAAACAACTAAAGGGGAAAAAAAGAAACAGATTCAAAAATAAAGTTGTATCAAAGAAGAAATCACTAGTATTCCGGAAAACAAAATACACATACAAATAGAAACATACAAGCGCATCTACAGCGGGTGGGTAGAACGGTACTTACTAATATCTTGAAATATTAATTGAAATTTTATAACTGTCATACGAACAGGCACCCCAATTCTGAGTTTTAGACTACCATGATTTAGAAATATTTTCGTAATTAAATTTCCAGATTTCAAAATATGAAAATAAAGCGCAAATAAAGGATAGTGGGATAAATATTTAAGGAGTGTTTATACGAAAGGAAGGAACCGCTTTAAAATTTGTCTGTTTCTTTTGATTGGTCCCAAAACATGGTTTGCGTAAGAAATTTATCAAATATAATGGATAATTCAAAGTTTATTCTTAATAAAGAATCAAATTTTTAATACATTTTAATTTGATGATTTTTATAGTAATAGTTAGCATTTATTGAATAATATTGGAGATGGTTGATTAGTTAAAAAAATGATCTCGAATTTCCTCGAATTGAATTTGCACATAGTAAAGATATTAATAGATAACTAATATATTTTTATATAAATATATTAATTTATGCATTTTAATATCCAATTAACCTAATGATTTCGTATAGAATTTAATTAAAGTTGCTTTCATTGTTTTTGAGCAAATTTTGAAAAAGTCTGTCTATTTTTTTCCTTGGATAAATAAATATTGCCGCAAATTTTTTTAATTCTATTTATTTGATTAAAATAAAGATTTGATTAAATTTTTTAGAAGCATTTGAATTTCATGTAGTTAGTTATATTAAACTTGAAATTTTTCCTTTTACCCTATATATCAACAATGAAGACATTTCTTCTTTTTTAATACAAAAAAACTAAAATTATCATCAATTATCAAAATTATCAAAGAAATATTTATTATTCAGGGTAAATGTTTATTAAGAGAATTATATAATTTTAAAAATAAAAATAATTTGAACATCTATAAATTTATAAAGAAATTTGATATTTAGAGTATAAATTATTTTAAATAGTATAAAACTAATACAATAAGAAGTGACGAAAACTTCCATCCACATGAATAAAAAGATGTTTTCTAATATAGAGAAAATTATTAAATAGACGCATATTAATCAGAATTATCCAGTAATCGAATTCACAATTAATATTTTTATAATCATAGTAATAAGTCAAAAGAATATTTCTTAGGGAGTGAGATGCTATTAAAGAAATCTAAAAAACAAAAGGTCGGAAACGAGTTGATTTTGTTGAATGATACCTAAAATAGGTTGATTCATTACAATATACCATTAAAAACCAACTTTAGTGATATTGTTAAATTTTCTTAAAAGAGTGCCAGGTTCAGTTAAGTGAGTATTAGAACCAGAAGTGATTTTTCTAAATTTTATAGTAATTTCATGAAATTTTGGATTGATTATTCAGAACGGGAACTGCACACTTCTTGTTTTAATTTTTAACCTGTTATTGAGAGATAGAAACTTTTATTGATAACATTACTATTTAAATTGTTGAACTTGCATTTTTTTTTATTCATTAATTCTTTACTTAAAAGTTCAACATAGAATTTCTTACGAAATACACCAAATTTAATTCGAAGTTTCTTAATATCGAGAAAAATTAGTTAAATTGTTACAGTTATTATTATTAAGAAATTGTTTTTAAAATAATAAACTACTTATTTCCATTCTTTGGATAGCCTTGAGGTAAAGAAAATCTATTTGACAATCTTAGAAAATAATTATTGAGATTTTTAAGTAAGCAATTTAGAATTTTATTGATTGAAATGTGGAAAATGGGTCAAAATATTATGCATTTCAAGATTAAATTTCTTAATTCTAAACTTTCTATGATATTTAAATTATCAGCAATAATATATTTATAATATTTATCAACAAATTCAAAATATCTCTTCCTCATAGTGACATTCATAATCGTATAAATTCATTTTTCTGACATTTTCATTAATATCATTATTATTAAAAAGGACCCTACTAAGAATTTTATTATATTTACAACTTTTAACTATGTCAAACACATTTAGTAGAAACAAATTTTAAACTGGTAAGAACTCAATATAAGATAAAATGTAATTCAAACATAGAAAGAAAGCAAAATTATGCATTTTTACTACCCATAATGCATAATTTTAGAATTTTTGTGAAAACATAAAATTAAAAATATATTTACATTTAGGGGTCGCAAATTAATATTTTAGAGAAGAAAAATGAGCCGCTTTCGCAATGTGTCAAATACCTGAAATGAAAATTACCACAAAAAAATTCTTGTAAAAAAAACAACATGATTCTGGTAATAAAACCAAAATCTATGGTATTAAACAATTTTTTTGGTAATTTTTCCGTTCACATTGTAACTGTTCATCGAAAAATCCAGTTTTCAGAATTTTAGTTCTCTTTACCAAACATTTAGAAGATATCGAACTATAATTGGTTTTTATGTCATGCTCTAAAGTATTATGATAAAATTATAAAATTTACAGATACTTAATCATTTATTATAAAACATTAATTAATTATTAACTACGCCAAAATGAAAGTTCTAAGAAAAAAATTCCACTCAGCAAGTAACATACTTAATTTTAGAAAAATCAGATAGTATTGACTATAGATTTTTGTCAGTCTGAGATGAAAAACATTAAAACCCATTAGATTGCCTGTTAAAACTAGGAGCTGCTTCGTCTATCCGTTTTTTAACTTCCGCTGTTTCCACTGACAATCATAAAGAATTCGGAAAGAGTTAAAGTCAGAATCATAAAGTTTATTTCAATATTTTATAAAATCGATTCGTCAGATTCATTTAACGTTTTTGTTTTTTTTCTTCAGTTTAAATATTCACAAGATTTACTTAACTAAATAGAGTATATTTCCACTTAGAGTATAAATAGATTGCATTTCTTATTTATCTATTTTACCTATTATTATTTATTTATTTGCATATTTATTTTTAATTAATTTTTCTATAAAATTTTTTAACAAATTTATCCTGAGCAATTTATTTTTAAAATGAAAATTATTTACGCCTCAAATACTAAAAGACGTTTTCTATGAAAAAAATACAGTATTATACAGAAGCTAGATGCATTTATTTTCTGCATATTTGAAAATATATAGTCCTGTGTTTCAAATATTTCAAATAAAGTATAAGTTTTTGAAATTTTGAAAATTTGATAACAATTTCGTAATGTAAATATTCAATTACTATTACATAAAATATCAATCAGTCAAATCAGTTCGAAGTTAATAAATAATCTTTAAAATGCAACAAATTAAAGAAATAAATCACGATGTTTATTTAATAAATAGATTAATTATACTCCAAGTATGAAATATACGCATTTAATTATGAAATTAACAATTGTCTGGGAATGTGATTCTGTATGCAGTAAATAAATTGATGAATATGAGAATAAATATATAGATAATGGTGTCCTACTATTTTAGAAAACGAAGTAAATCATCAATTTGAAATTAAAAAAAAATAAATAATATTATTGCTTACCTTTAAAAAACGAGTCGATTTCCTTTGTGATAATTGTTCTATAAACCGTCTTTTATATTTCCAGTGAATTCGACGCAATAGTCATTCTTATGAATATTTTAGCTTCTACTGATTATTTTTTTACCACAAATCCCCGTAATAATGTTTTTGAACGATTCCCGAAAGTCTTTGTTGAAGAAACAGTAAATAATTGGATTTAGCGATGAATTAGCATATCCAGTCCAAATCACAATTTGTAGTATTATTTCGGGACATTCGCAGGAGGTACACATGTTTGTAATTATATATACAATAAAAAAGGGTAACCAGCAAGCAACAAAAGTGCCAATAATTATGCCAACTGTCTTGGCTGCTTTATGTTCGTTTCTTATCGTCTTCCTCCATTGGGGTGAAGTAGAGGGTTCAGCGCCTTCCCCAGGTAAATTAACTCTTTCTTCAGCTATTTCTGTGTTCAATAAGTCGATTGCTTGTTTGGTAGCTACGTTATAGATACGGATGTAGGCTCCAATCATTATAGTGGATGGCACCCAAAAACTGACGCTAGAAGATATTATGCAGTACATTTTATTGACTATGAATTTGCATGTATCAGGTTTCATAGAGCGTTCCTTCAGGTATTCGTCAGTTGTGTGCCAGTCGAAATAAATGGGTACAATGCTAATAAATATAGACACTAACCAATTAATTGCGATAATGGAAAACACTTTACTGCTGGTCATTTTCCAGCGATGGTTAAAAGGATAAACGATCGCATAATAACGTTCCAAGCTTATACTGCTTAAATGGATGATCGAAGATGTGCAAAAAAGCACATCGGCGCTATTCCAGAAGTCACAGAGGAATTTGCCGTATTCCCAAGTTTCACTTATTGTGCGAACGGCATTAAATGTCATAGCAAACAGAGCCACGAAAATGTCAGCGCAGGCCAGAGATACTATGAAATAATTAGTGGATGTTCTTAGTTTTTTCGTTTTGAAAACACTGGCGATAACGAGAGCATTTCCAAGGACTGCAGACAAAATAATTGCAATGAAAACAAAACATTTCAAAAGCAGTATGAGAAAGTCACCTAATGCGAGCTCGGAAGTTTCCGAAATTTCACCGAATGTTTGGTTCATTTTAGTTCTAAAACACTAGTTGCTTCTTTTAGCGCAGATAGTTCATTAAAGCTTAGTCGACAGCAGCCGTAGGTGTTTAAAAGTTGCTAGGCGGAGGAAACTTTCGATCTTCATTTGAAGTTAGCGGTAACTGTTTATTGATTGAACTGCCTTTTTAAGATTCCTGGATGAGGGAGGAGGATGCTCCCTGTTAGAATGCGCGCGATGCGTTGTATGAGAATGCGCGATCATCATCAAAGTCAAGGATGGAGAAAAAATGGTAATAGCGGTGTCAGTTAATGCAATGTTTTCTCCAATTCCACGTGCTATTAACAACATAAAATTGAAATTCTTTCATTTACACAAGTATACAAAAGTTTTTTTAACTAATTTTTGTTGCATTCCGATTGCTGCTTTTATATTTGAAAGCAGTTTTTAAAGTTCACTTTTCTGGTCCAAAGTTTTTTTTTTTTTTTTTTAAATCACAGTAAGACAGCTAGGATGCTATTATTTATCTATGGACATGAATGCGAAGCTTTTATTCACTATATCTCCGTGTTTAAATTAGATGTAAATTTAAAATAATAAAAACTTCTCGATTATGGCTACAATTAACTATTTTTTTTTTCGTCTTTTAGTTAAGGTAAGTATTCTTTGTTGGTAAATTCTTCTTGGCTCTTGTAACTGAATGTTAAAATTCATTTTTTTCTCATTTATAATGATGAGATATACTATAAATGAACATATTTTAAAGTATATCTCCTAGGATTTGATTTTAAACTCTTGGATGAAGCGTTGGGGCAAACTAGCCTTCGTGGAGAACTTATTGAGGGAACTAACTCTCATTTGAGTTACATAGAGGATAACCACGAAAGACTCTCATGGTGAGTCCGACACACCGGGGACTCTAACCTTTGATCTATCACTCTTTTATATCAGTACTATGGTCAATGGTAGCCGGGAGCAGAATTTGTATCAACCAGCCACCTTTTGGAACCTGGCTAACCTTATTGGGAGACGAATGCTCTATTCCCTTAGCCAATGCGACTTGCGGTTCTTATTGAAATAATCATCTAAAAGTTTTAAATATTATTTATTTATTAATTATATGATTTTTATGTTTAGTTATACTTTGTATAAAACCTTCTGAAACATTGAGATCACCGTCTTCAGTAGACATGCCGGGAGACCCTATATTAAACTATGTTTACCTAAGTTTACCTTGATTGAAACTTAAAAGTTTTCACATTCTCAATATTAAAAATAAATTTAAAACATCTAAATTTTTATAACTTTGAAAAGTAAAATCTCTTTTGAATATCCATCGCATGGAATCTAGATAATTGCCCTAATTCTCCTCCTTTCACTGAGAAATAAAATCTAATCAAAACTACCAGAATATGGTAAAATTTACCATGTTCTTGGCTCTATGATTACAGCAAAAATATCGATAATTTTTACCGAAGTGCTTTGGTAATGGTAAAATTAAAATATGTTTTTATATTATGCGATTAAATTTGATGAATGTTGTAAAATTGGGTAATTTTATCATAAAATAATTAATTTTTCATGATTTAATCAAGGTACGTAATTTTATCATGATACTTTGGAACATGGAAAATCATTTATGAAGGAGAAATCCTTTTGGGTGGAGTGGAATGGGTCTGTGGTTTGTCAAAGATGCCCATTAAAAGAGAAATACAGTCGCAAGACTCAACAGACACTCAAAAGAATAACCAGCTCACCTACCCTTTTCGGAATGGTTCAGATGCTTTTCATGAGGCTCATCGGATCACCAAAGGGGTGTCCATCAGTATATATTCAACTTTGTTTACGACCACTAGTGTTTAACTCTGTAACCTTGTAATTTTGAACCCAGTGTAGAAGACGAGGGAAATCCTGGATCCATCAAGTGGTGGGAGAAATTTGCCTTTGTCGAGGACTTTTTGATGGAACTCTCCAGCATTTCAGTTAAGTGGAGAAGAAAACTACGAAAACCTCACATGGTTAACCTAGCGGCAAGGGGACTTTGAACCATGATCCATCTACCACTTAGGATATTTTACGTCAGCACTGTGGTCGGTGCAAGCTGGATACGGAATTCATATCGACCAGCCATCGTTGGGATTGGAACTTGGTTCACCTCATTGGAAGGTGGACGTTCTATTCTCTGTGAGCCATCACGGCTCCCACCAGGATATAAAAGAATGTCGCAGGATTCAGTAATTATTAAACTAAATGTCTCGGTATTATAGAAATACACTATGACAACATATTTATTAGCACTGTTGCTTTAAAGTGCTTAAGATTAATATTTGCAAAAAATAATCATTAAAATTAAGTAAAAATATTTTGGAAAATAACTTTTCAACTTTAATTATTTTCCTACCTTTTTCAACCAAAATAATTTTCCAGCCTTACGCATCATAACTATTTTGACATGCAACGGTAGCACTAATGAAAGTGAAATTATAGAAAGTACAAAATGATTTTGATTTCAATTTAAGACAATAAATCCAGGGCTAAGGATAGAATAGAAGAGCTGGTTGACTCCTTTGAAGAAACTCTCGTCGAGCCTAACCACCGATTTTTGATTGTGACGTCACGGCGGCGCAAAGCTTGAACTTTTACTTGAAGAATGGAGCGTTCGGTCTAACTAATATTGGAGCATTCTTTTATGTGGCATATTCCAAGACATGCGTTGTTTTCTACAATGATTTTTCTCAGTTTTTTTTAAGGGAATTACAAAGTATCCACAAAAATAAAAAATTCAGAAATAGGTTGTTATTTAACTGCGGAATTGTTTGAAAAAGCGTTTAAAAAAGATACAACGAAAATGTAGCGTCTGAAAATATTGATATTCTATACAACGTTGAAGATATAATGCATGACTTAACTAACTCCATTCTTTTGGCTTGGGATATTGACCTTAATTTACGAAAACATTATCAATTCACTAGAGAAAGAAGGACTAAATTATATTGCTAGATACATAACATTTCACTTTAAAAATATTGTTTCAAAATTAGGAATACCCTCTTCTCAATACATCCGACAACAGGGGAGCAACTTATAATGTATAAATCTCTTATCTGAAGAATAATTACTTGGTCCGTCAGCAGCATGGATGGAAGTGTGCCATGAATTTGAGACATTTTTCAAAGTGTGCATGGGACATATCTTACAGAAAATCAAAAGTGTCAATGGAGAACTTGAATTAGAGGGTCGATATTCCACAGTGAATAAAACAGCTATTCGCTTATTTTGTCGTCTTCGAACTTTTATAAGAATTCGTCGTCTAAATAGAAACCGCCCTGTTACTTTACGAAAAAAATTAAAAAATGGGTAAAATAAATGAAAATAAGAACTTAATTGAAAAGTACAACGAATTAATAATTAAATTTCTCCTAATTCCATAACATAGTTTTTAATGTAGTTACTCTAAATATTTCTGATTTTTTTAAATATATTCTCTTAAATTTAAATATTTCTAAACAATTGTAAAATTTCTAAAATTATTATGAACCTAAATTATTATTTTGTTACAGTAATTAGTATTTAAGGTTGTTGTTTCCAAATGATTAAGTATAAACAAATTGCTATTGCATTAACAGCATATTTTAAAATCAGGATTCTAAATTTAACACAACTTTACAAATTATTGTTATCCAACAATATGTTGCTAAGAGAGTGCCGATATATGCTTTAATTTTTTTTTTAATAATAAAAGTTAAAACTGAAAATTTTAAAATAAAGTATTTATAGCGTCATTTACGACAGCTTGTAAAATATTTTTATTACTTTAAAATGGTATTTATTTTAATATTATGGCCAAGAAAACTTTTTTCAACTATATTTTTGAACGAAAATAACGTGTTAATTGTGTATAATTTGAAAGCTAACATATCAGGAAGCAGTCGAACTTAATTTCAATGAGAGAATGATGCTAAGTTTTCATATCTTTGCTCCCGATCTCTGAGATCTGTGTGAGGCGTGACGTCATGAGGAGGGAAATCGTAGCTTCAACTTTAGGAGAGGAAAGAACTCCCTTCTCTTTAACCCTGGATAAATCTCACTGCAAACATTGTGAAGAAAGTGTGACTAGTTGCGCCATCTCTTAGCAATATTCAGGAACAGAAAAATAATCGTGGGATATATAGCGACGAATTCAATTTGAATAATGCAATTTTTCTCTTCGACACATGCGTGCCACGCCAACCATACGGGCACAAAAGCGCCGAACGTATAAGATGCGACGCCAACACAAAAGTTAAATAAAAAGTAGGAATAAAGGAGTTAAAATAAAATCTAATTATAAAATAATAGTGTTAATAGTTTTTATTTTTTGGAAATGAAAAAACTGTCCTCAAATAAGAACACTGGATGATACAGGGTTAAAACAGAAATAATTAAAAGATAAAGAAATTGCTTCTTTTTTCAAAAACATAAGCATCATAAAATCTATATATTTCCATCATGGAACCTGATATTTCATTTTTCCGAAACAAAAAAATAAAGTTTTCAATTAAATATTTTTAGTATGTTCTAAATAGAATCAAAATTTCTTTGAATCATTGGTTTTAAAGTTATCATTATTGCTTTTCTCTGTTCCAATAAAGCAAAAATTTTTTTCTACTTCTGTGGTATATTTAATAATACCATAATCTCAATACCTCATTTAAGCTTCTAAGCTTAAATTGAGACTTACCTGCAGTAAAAGTTAGTTATTTTAAAATGTCATTGATCAGAATTAATAAAAAAAAAATTATGAATAAGCTCATTATAATAGTACTGATTTCATTAAAAATTTCTTTCATGAAAGAAATGTTATTGTTTTTTTAATTGAATTCAGAATATAAATCTTTTTTTTTTATTTGTACATGGAGAGAAACAAATTTTGATGAAATTTCCGTACTGTATGATAATAAGTATTTCCAGTAAAACACACAATTCTAGAATTAAAAAGCAAAATATATGGTATTTAAACCATTCATTTAGTAATTATTCCTTTCATGCGGTAA